AAAGTAACATGACATTCAATACACATCCTTATAATTTACATTCAAATTTTATCTTCTGGGGTCCAATAACTTGTCTGTCTTACATTTAATGAACTGTCTGATGTTAAAAGAGCTGCCTCAACCTCATTTTATGAGCATTGATTCTGATGTAGCACATTGACAGCTCTGCTTTATAAAGAATATAAATGACTGATTAAATAGTCTTCTAACTAGAACAAAAACATCTGTTTTACCTGCAGAGTTTGTTCAGAACCCTTTCACATTTTTACTCCTCAGGCTGTAGATTACAGGATTCAGCATGGGGAACACCACAGTGTAAAAGGCAGACACAATTTTGTCCCTAGACAAAGAGTAGCTAGACTGAGGGCGAGAGTAGATGTAGAGAATGGAGCCATAGTATAAGGTGACAGAGAGGAGGTGGGAAGAGCAAGTGGAGAAGGCCTTGAGGCGGCCCTGGGTGGAGCGTATTCTCAGGATGGTGGCAATGATAAAGAGGTAGGAGGCGAGGATGAACACAACGGGGGTGAGGACACTGGAGGTCAGGAGAAAGTACATCAGAGTCTGGTAACCTTCCATTCTGCCACAGGCCAGCTCCACCAGGGGAAGCAAGTCACAGAAAAAGTCATCAAACCACAGAAGTCAAATCAAAATGTTTTTTTGGTGAAGATAGAAGAATTAATAAAGTCACCAAGATACAAAGATATTAGTAAAAATGCACACAGCTTTATGGACATGACTTGAGCTTAAAGCAGTGGCTTGAAGATGGTCATATAGCAGTCACAAGCCATGGCAGCCAGAGGGTAACACTCATTGTAGTCCAGCCCAGCAGAGAAGAACTGACACAGGCAGCCAGCAAAAGAGATGCTTTTGTCAGACATGCAGGTCATTAGGATCTTGGGAGTGTAGACAGAGGACAACCAGAGATCCAGAAAAAACAAATTTCCAATGAAAAAAATACATGGGTGTGTGTAGCCGGGAGTCATGGCAGATCAACACGATGAGGGCGGTGTTTCCTACCAACGTCATGGAGTAGACTCCCAGGAACAGCACAAAGAGGACCAGCTGCATCACGGGATTTGTTGTGAAGCCCAGCAGGATGAACTCGGTCACTGAGTGATTGCCCCTCAGCATGATGTAGGGCCTCTCACCTAAGAGGAGACAAAAGGAGAATTTAATGAATCACTCTGTTGACTGGGAAGAGCTCTCTTGGGTCTGAAGAAAGCCAAGGACTGGTCCCTGCCTTCCAGCAATGGCTTTGGCTTGAGTCTCCAGCATTGGGTCCGCCCAGCAGGGGCACCCCCCACAGCTGCCACACTGCAGGGAGCTGCAGTTGCCCCCAACCCTAAGGCCCGAACCCCTCCCAAACTCATCCTGCCGCAAGCTGTTAGTTGCAGGGCGGAGTTAGGGCCTTAATCCAGTTCCCAAGTTTCCCTCATGATGTACTTGCCCTGAGGGAAGAGTGCTGTTTCACCTTAAATGTCCATGCAGGGCCCAGTGCGGTGGTGCAGTGGTTAAAGGTCCTCGCCTTGCACGCCCGGGATCCCATATGGGCGCCGGTTCTATCCCGGCAGCCCCGCTTCCCTTCCAGCTCCCTGCCTGTGGCCCAGGAAAGCAGTCGAGGACGGCCCAGAGCTTTGGGAACCTGCACCCACGTGGGAGACCCGGAAGAGGCTCCTGGCTTCGGATCGGCGTAGTATCGGCCATTGCGCTCACTTGGGGAGTGAATCATCGGACGGAAGATCTTCCTCTCTGTCTCTCCTCTCTGTATATCTGCCTTTCCAATAAAAAAATAAATCTTTAAAAAAAAAATTTTTTTTAAGTCCTGTGGATTAATTACTACACATCAGGGACATCAGCAGAAACATTTTTCTTTGTTATTTCACTAGACAAAATATTTTCCTGTTCTAATCATTTTGCTGCAAAAAGACAGTATTGAATTCCTTTTTATGGCTAAGTAATGTCCCAGACATTTTTGAAATATTACGTTTCTTTGCTTTGTCCTATTTCTAAGTTAGATTCAGTATTCTGAATTGTGTCCATTAACGTTTACGGATATTCAGTTGCAACACTCGGTAAGCATCTGCTTTATCATAGTTTTGGCAGTCATTTTCATTTTGTTGTATATTATTTATAGTACATTTAATATAGTAGTCACTCCCTTGTGGGTGACAGGGACCCTAGTTATCCATCCTTTACTTGCTGCTTCTTGGTGATGCGACTCGTAGGAAGTTGGAGTCAGACGCTGCTCCTCTCTGTGAGTTCCTCTGAGCCATCACCATCCGGACTGTCCCGGTCTCCTCCTGTGGTTTCATTCTGTGACCATTCTGAGGGTGAATCCAGCTGAAGGAAGGCAGAAAGGCTTCTCTGCATGTGGTCTCACCTAACTGCAGTCTTTAGCTATCATGCAGTCTTTATTCTTCATTATGTACGAAAAGATCTAGTTATGTTTTGCAGAATGTCTTGATAGTGTCTGTGTTTTACACCATTTTAATACCCAGCATGGGGCCCAGCATGGTGGCCTAGTGGCTAAAGTCCTTGCCTTGAATGTGTCAGGATCCCATGTGGGCACTGGTTCTAATCCTGGCAGCTTTACTTCCTGTCCAGCTCCCTGCTGGTGTGTGGGACCCTGCACCTGTGTGAGAGACCTGGAGGAAGTTCCTGACTCCAGATCAGCACAGCATCAGCTACTGTGGCCACTTGGGGAGTGAATCATTGGACGGAAGAAGATCTTCCTCTCTGTCTCTCCTCCTGTCTGTATATCTGCTTTGCAGCTAAAATAAGTAAATCTTTTTTTAAAAAGCACCATTTGACAAAACAACCAAAACACCAAAACAAACAAGCCACTCAAGAAATGGGCATGGAAAATGGGCAGACATTTCACAAAGGAACAAACCCAAATGGCAAACAAACATATGAAAAAATGCTCCAGTTCCCTGGCAATAAGAGAAATCCAAATTAAGACATCGATGAGGTACCACCTAACACCAGTAAGATTGGCCCACATTAAAAAAAAAAAAAAAACACCAACAACACATGTGGGCGAGGATGCGGGGGACAGGGAACCCTACTCCACTGCTGGTGGGGCTGCAGGCTGGTACAGCTTCTATGAAAATTAGTATGAACACTCAATCAACTCAAAATCTGCATACCATATGATCCAGCAATAGCTCTCCTAGGAATATATCCAAAACACCTGTTTCACGAGAAACCAACATGCACCCCTATGTTCATAGCAGCACAATCAATAATTGCAAAAATTTGGAAGCAACTGAAATGCCCATCAACAGAAGACTGGATAAGAAAGCTATGGTTCATTTACTCCATATAATACTACTCAGCTATTAAAAAAAACCAAAATGCAGTTCTTTGTGGTCAAATGGGCCCAGCTGGAAACCATAATGCTAAGGGAAATGAGCCAATCCCAAAAGGTTAGATATCACATATTTGCCTTAATTTAAGAATTTAAGATGAAAGGATGTCAATATGAAAAAGAGTACCTGTAAAATGTAATTTTTTAAACTTATGGGTTACTCAATACTATGGCCACTAATTCCATAATGTTGTGGATTGTTGCTGATGTTATGTTGGGGCTTTTGATTGGTCGGGGTGATACTCTGCTGGCTCTACCTTCGGACCAGAGATGTTCTCCACAAGAAGCCGTTGAACTTATCTGGACAATAAGATGCTGGACTCTATGCTTGGTATATGCTTACAATGAAAGAACCCCAACTGAAGTTGAACTGTGGCAATGCAGCAAGGTGGAGGAATCCACCAAGGGGGAAGGGGCGGGGCGAATCCCAGTGCCTACAACTGTGTCACATAATGCAATGTTGTCAATCAATCAATAAAAACACCATTTGTTTTTTGTAAACTTTTTATTTTGAAGTTTTTAGTTTTATCATATAATTTTGCAGACTGGGATTCCCCCCAAAACTCCCACCCCCTGACAGATTTTCCCCATGTTATGACAACAGTATAGTCCTTCATAAGGAGTCATAATTCTGTCAGTTGTTATTTAAGTGTACCCTCACATTGCTAGTAGAGATGATATCAGACAGGAGAGGCTGGCACAAAGCCTTGGGACCCTGCACACAAGTGGGAAACCCCAAAGAAGATCCTATCTCCAGGCTTTGGATCAACTTAGTCCTGGCCGTTGGAGCTACCTGCTACCTGAAGTGTGAACCAGTGGATGGATAGTGTTTCTCTCTCTCTCTCTCTCTCTCTCTCTCTCTCAATATATATATATATATATATATCTCATATATCTCATATATATATATCTCTCTCTCTCTCTCTCTCTCTATATATATATATATATATATCTCATCTGTTGAAACAATAAAGATTTAATTAAGAAGCCACTAAGGATTGTAAAGTATGCACTTATTTATGTATTTGCTGCTTCAGGAATTTTCAGGTTTCTTTTGGACATTCTCCGGGCAATACAATTTTGCTTATGGTCTTTATTATTTTTTGTTTATCTTGTTTGCTGTTAATGAGATTTCCCTTGATGTCTGTAAGGCCACATACTCATCTGATGAAATTCAGTGACATTTCTACAGTCTTAATTTTGGGAAAATGATTCTTACTTGCAACATGAATGCATTTTTCATATTTCATTAACAACTATGTTGAATCCAACCCTAAAATGTCAGATGTACACCTTTCAGAGATAATTTGGAAGCAAAGGTCAAACCATCTAAGTTAATTGACAATAGTTTTCCATCAGGTAAACTCAAAAACATAATACTTTTATTACCCAAAAGGTTGTCAGAATCTCTGGAGTTACCATTGGGTATATTCTCCTGAAACCTGACAAATCTTATTTTCCTTCTGGTGCTTATTTGCCTTAGGGAAGCCAGGTTTCCTCAGGTTACATTCTGTACTGAATGCAAACTCTAACTTTACACATAGCTGTTCCTAAAACCCTGTTACTATAGCTTACAATCTTGGTTCATATCAGAATTCAGATAGCTGTGTAATACATCAGTAAAATTTCACTAATTTCCTAATAACGCATTATCTTTAAACCTGGAGGAATAAGACAAGGGAGAGTTCAGACTTTCAGAGACAAGTGACTCAAAACAAGGACAAACATCTGTACCCTAATGGTTTTCATTGAAGTCAGACAGTTATTGGTATTTAAGAGCACGCTTGTCTCCACAAGAGGGGTTTTGGTCCAAATTCTTGAATCATTATCAAAACAATTTACCACATATTTCCAGAGAAAAGCTGTCCAGAAAATTTTAAATGCCCTACCTCTGGATTTAACATAGTAAACCTCTCATTTGCTGCATTATTGATCAGTACTAACAACTGTCCAGGCCAACTAAAAACTTGTGTCGTGTCCAGGGACAAGGCTTGTGAGGCTATTCTTCTGGCAAAATGTTTGGAAACTGGGTTAAACATCCTAGCTCCACCCTGCGGAGTGTGGGGCCCTACCGCTAAGGTCTTAGGAATTTTAACTCGGTTCCCAAGTTCCCTCATGGCGGACTTACCCTGAGGGAAGAGCTCTCTTGTGTCCTGGGGGACACCAAGGACTCGTTCACCGCCTTCCGCCAGTGTCTTTGATGAGAGTCCCCAGCATTGGGTCAGACCCAGCAGGGGCACCCCCACAGTCGCCACACTGCAGGGAGCGGCAGATGCCCCCATCCCCAAGGCCTGAACCCTTCCCAAACTCGCCCAGCCATAAGATAGACCTGGTGGTTTGGAGGGAAGTATCCAGAAGATAATTTGGGTTAGACAGATTCACCAGCTCAATTAGGAATACAGACATGATTTGTTAGCTTAGAAAATCACTGATCACCACACTCAAGCCCACACCAAAGCTATGGATGGGGGCCTCTTTGGCAGTGTTAGGTACCATTACCCAACTGGGTGGTAGAATGGTGGAGTGGTCACATTTGGCAGGATCAAGACACTATCCAGCATGCAAGAAAATTTAGTCTGAGGGTAGACTTTGTGGGGTTGTGTGGGCCCAACTCTCTAGAATACAAGCCCCCTGGTTAGCTTGCAAGCTGGGGTTGCAATGGTCTAAGCTAGGTGTGACCATGCCACCTGCCATCACTCACAGGTAAAGGAACCCACAATAGTCAGAGTAGGTCAAGGCAGCAGCACCTGAATGTACATCCTTAAACAGGATGTGGGGTGGGCCAGGCTGCCACTGGAAGGGGGCAGAATGGGCAGGACTGAACAAACCTTAACTCACAAGAAATAACAGAAATCAGGTTGGAGCACAGGTTATGCCATGTAGGTCCTTGCACCTACTGATCTGCGTGAGGCAGGGACACTAAGCCACAGCATCCAAGGGGCCAGGATAGGTGAGGGTCTCTGCCAAGCTGAGTCATAGCAACCACCAGCCTGCACATGATCTAAGGCTGGGAATAGGCCCAATCGGGAGCTAAGCTGACACCCTAGCTGGGTTGAGGTTCCCGCCAAGGAGCGCATGGGCTGGAATTGGGGCTGTGTTCTGATCAGGATATGACTGTAATCTCACTTGGCACAAGTGTGGACTGGGACTGGAAGCACCAAGCTGGACCAGACTCCAACACCATCTGGTGCTCTGGAGGACCAAGGGGAGATGTGTGACAGACTAGGTTAGGTCTCAGCCCTTACTGAACCATGTGTGAGCTGTATGGGGGTATGGAAGAGCCATGGCTGGGTTGAAACAGCCAACAGTAAGAACAAGATTGGGTTGAAGGCCAGTCAGGAAAACCCACTGTTCCTGCTAGGACAGGAGGTGAACTGAGTAGGGCTGGCTCATGAACCCACTGGTATGCGCAAAATCTATTACTGGGAGAGTTTCTGATGGAGGAGCCTAAACAACTTCTCTGGCAGGACACAGTCCCTGCAGGTAAGCACAAGAAGCACAATACGAAACAGCCCAGAACAGGCAATGGAAATTATCCTACTGGCATACACATGGCATGGGTTGGGAGCAGACCAGGCTGAACCTGTTCACATTACCCACTGGTGAATCTGAGCACCAGAACAGAGTGTGGGTCGAGCCAGGTTCGGTTGTGACACATACCAGTATACAATAAGGAATGCCAAGGTGAGATGGAGCCATACCAGATGTGGTTCCAGCACCCAAACAGCACATACGAAAACCAGGGGGAGGAAGCAAAGCTGGCAGGGGAATGTGGGTTCCCCTGCGGACAATTACTTCCGTTGGAAAGCATGAATAGGGATGAGGGCAGATCAGACTAGGCAGGGCTACAACACCTGTGGGCCTCATGTGAGCTAGATGAGGGAAGGGCCACAGTGGGCTGACTGTTTCAACTGGTGCAAGCAAAAATTAGAGTGGGTGAGGGTTGGTTGGGCTTAGCCACAGCATTAACTAGCAGAGGCTGGCACTGGGAGCTAATTCTGTCAAGGCAAATGCCAGAACCACCTCGAGAGTTCATAATCTGGGAGTGGGTGTGGCCTAGTAGGGAGATAGTGGGCACCTCCCTCGGGGTTACCACTCTCACTGGACAGCACAAAAACCAGGACAGGGGTAGGGGTGGCTAGACAGAAAGGCACCTGCCAGTAGGTGTATGGGCTAGACAATAGGTTGGTTGGGTTGCACAGGGCTTCAATGCCCATTGACATGTATGAGAGCTGAATGGGATGTGGGACAGACTGGACAAGCCTGCAGTACATACTGGCAAGCATGGGGACCAGGGTAGGGGGAAGAACTGGTGGGGGTTATGGGGAGTCACCCCAACTAGGCTGCAGCTCCAACTGGTTTATGTGAGGACTAAGTATGAAGTGGGTAGGTTCGAGCTGGATTACAACACCCATTGGTCCATGAGGAAGACAGGGCTGGAAGCCGAACGGACCCAGCAATCGCAACGACCAGCATGTGCATAAGTTGAATGGTGGATGGACGGTGTTGGAGTCTGTACTAGCAAACTCACTTAAGAATCAGATCTGGGATTATCTCAGATGAAGTTTCTTTGGATATCTCTCCAACTGAACTGCTGATCTTAGAACCCAACCATGAAGAGACTGTCAGCCAGTGGACTCTGAATAGGTTTCATTGCAATTGGAACTGTGAGATTGGCAGCAATTCAGAACTGCTGAACTATCAAAACTCTTTCAGCAGGACCCTTGAAGCGCGCCTCCTGTTGAGGACTGGGATGGGTGGTCGGTTGGGTGGGTTGGTTCCCTTTGTTTCTCCCCTGACCCCAGATACAAGGGAAAATGATAATATTAGTGTGGAAACAATGGTATTACCGACTTTCACCCTGTAGCCCTTGATCCTTTGTACCCTAATCAACTAAGATTATTTTAAAAACAAATAAATTTTTAAAAACTAAAAAATTTAAAAAAAAAACAGGATTTTGTCTAAATCCTGAGAAGACTGACTCCTCTGAGAGGGTTGATTATTTCACTCGTTTATTCATAAACATTTAAATTGGCCCCAGCTTCTTTATTGCTTTTTTCTTTTGATTTTCAGTCGACAAACTGTTCAAGTGACCCATTACATAAAGAACCCAGCTGATGGTAAGGAGGGACAAGGAACTACTATTCCTCAAAAGCAACTCAAAGGGCTAATCCTCCTGTTGCAAGCACCAGGATTCCATATGGGCATGGATTTGTGTCCTGGGTGATTCAGGCTTGTGGCCTGAGAAAGTAGTAGAGCATGGCCCAAAGCCAAAGTGGGACCCTGCACCCACTGGGAGACCCAGAGAAAACCCCTGGCTCCTGGCTTTGGTTTGGCTCAGATCTGGTCGTTGCAGCCATTTAGGAAGATCTCCCTATCTTATACCTGCCTTTCCAATAAAAATAAATAAATCTTTTTTTAAAAACTGGATTGTAAATAATGAAAATCAGATATCAAAATGTAACCTTGTTCATATGGATTGCATTTCTTTGTATTCTGTGTTTTAGTTACCACTGAACAGGGAGAACTTAACAATAGTTTTTCTTTTGAGGACCGGCTTATTTCAATAAGCACAGCAATCTCCAGTTGCATCCATTTTGTTGCAAACTATGTGATTTCATTCTTTACTGTGGTTTAATATTATTCTATAGTATGTGTATATGCATGTGCACGTACAATATTTTCTTTATCCAATCATTCATTGATGGGCATTTGGATTGATTTCAAACCTTACTGATAATTACAAGACATTGTTGAAGAAAACTGACAATGAATCAAATAGATGGAAATATGCCACATGTTATTGGACTGGAAAAATCAGTGTTACTAAATATCTATGTTACACAAAGTAATTTAAAAATTTGGAAAAACCTTGGTCAAAATTCAAATATCTTTGTTCACAAAAATAGAAAAAAGTGAACACTTATTCATGGAAATGCAAATGTCAATACTTTAAATACAGAAACAGAAAAAAGTCTGATAGCTGAATCAATTTAGATTTTAAAAAATAGCCTGGCTGGGGGGCTAGACCTCCAGCCGCGGCATGGCAGCCGGGGGCCCCGTGGACGGTGGCATCTCACGCCCACATGGGGAGCTGCCCTGGGCAGCCAGTGCGCCATTTGGCACTAGGCTCCGACTGCTAGCCGCCCAGCCAGGGAGCTCTGGGATTTTGGTTCTTTGATTGCTGCTTAGATAGCTCCATGCTGAACCCTCGGTGTTTTGGGGACGTGAAACAATCCTAAAGATTTCTAATGACAGAAAGTCTTCCTCAGATGAACCTGAAACTAATACGGTCTCAACCCATGATATTTTAAAGGTATAATTTCAGTGGACTTTTATACAGTTCTTCAGTATATAAATAGTGGATTTCTCATAAAATGCAAAAAAACATACTTACATATAAACACAAAATCTATAATGATCCTAACAATATTTTAATGAATAAATAACAGATTTCAAAGAAACAAAATGAGTGCATGGAAACACCAAGACTAGGAAACTTTTTCCTAATATACAGTAATTTTCAGGGAGGGCTATCCCGTATCTCTGAGTACTGATGTGGTTAGACCTCTCAGAGCAGCCCTCTCTCCTTCTTCTCTTCCTATTCCCAGATAGTGGGGGAAAAAAATTAAACAACTGTTTCATCCACTTTCTCCCATCC